AAGCAGACCGCAACTTCTTGATGGATTATTCCCCAGAGAGCTGTTTGGTCAGCGTGGGGAACCGATGGCTTCCGCCCGGAAGCCCAAAACAAGACTGCAAGACTGGAGGGTTTCCCAAAGAGCAAAAGCCCCGCTACTTGGCTCTTCCACTACAGTAATTTGACTCGAGTGCTAGTAAACGTGGTGTGCCCCACCACAGAGACACGCTGGCAACTGCCAGAGCTGGGCTTGCGCGCTCAGCAGCCCAGCCACCAGCCCCCAAGAAAATTCTGATAAAAGATCAGCAAGAAGAGAAAGCAGACCCTTCTCCAGTCTGGGACTGGGCAGGGACCAGCGGGTACCTGCTGCGGCCGAGCACCGCAGCAGCGGTGCCAACAGGGGCTGGAGCAGGTGCCTCTCTGCCAGCTGAGGGTGCTCTTTCGCCATGGTGAGCAGCGTCGTGGTGGCCACTCGCTGGAACTGGCGCGCCGTCAGTTTGTCCTGGATGTGCAGCAAGTCCAGAATCTGGAGGGAAAACCCAGGATAAAGGAACAAAAATCAGCAACAACTTAGGAGGAGGGGGGCAGGCCGACTCCTTGCAGCCAACAGCAGGGATTGAGGAGCCTCCTGTACGCCGCTTTGCTGGACGCCTGGCATGACATTCCACATACGGAAGAGCCGGAATCCTTCCCATGCAGGCGTTAACGCAGGAGGCATTTCTGGGCTCAAACCAAGAGTCTGCACTGCTCCTGTAGCCAAAGGCTGGAAGCAAAAGCTCCATAGCAGAGAGCTCCTTGCAGCATAGCGCTGAACAGCTCGTGCGATCAGGCAACGTTATCCAGCATTTCAATCAAATACGGAAAATTCAAGAGTAGGGTGGAAGCACGTCCCACTGCCGGAGCAGCAGCAAACCATCTCCACCTTGTCCTGGCTCGAGCCAGGCCACACTCAAGCAGAAGCGACTGCTGCTCTCCAAGGCAGGAGCTGGCTCCACATTCCCAGCCAGAGCTGGCACGCTGTGGGGAGAGTGGGACCTACCTGGGGGCACACCAGGCGGTGGTAGTCCTCGAGGGAAAGGCACTGCTGTGGGCAGGAAGCCAGGATCTTTGCAACCGTGTCGCATTTTCTCCAGTCCACAGCTGCTGCTTCAGCACCCATGCCACCTGCTACGGCAGCAGAAAGCCAAGATCAGCTCAGGCTGGCAGCAAACACAGGGCTGGTTTTGGCTGAAGCCAGATGTTTCTGGCCCAAAATTGGATTCCTAGCTCCTACTACTCTCTTTAAACCAAGGATCTTTCAGGAGAACCCCGTGCTTACTGACAGAAGGGGAAACATTATCATCCGAGACCTTTGGTACTGGAAAACGACTTCTACGAATAGGTGTATGAGCCAAAAGGTGGAGGGAGGTCACGCCTGGATGGTGTCATCAGGTTGGTTTTGGCCAGAGTAAGCTTTGGCACTAGAAACTGTGGGATTCAGCTTTCAAGGAGCAACAGTTTCCCTCCCTGGCAGGGAACACAGAGCCGGGGAGCGAGGCTGCTGAGCCCCGGAGCGGGACAGGTCTCGCTCCACCTGCAGCTGCTCGCTGCCCAGCACCAAGCACGGCTCCCGCCGAACTGGCACCAGCGCAGCTCCTCGGAACAAACCGTGCTCCGTACGCGCACAAGGTGCCACCCCATAGAGGCACAAACACCCTGAACGCCTTTGGATGCTTTCGGTCTGGACCTCAAACGTGACGGTGTACCCCAAAGTAAAGGTGTTTGCAGTTGGAGGGCATTCACAGTTTGGGAGATCAACACAGCCAGGGGCAAAACCTGCGCAAGTGTTGCAGAGTCAGCCTGGCCTGACAAAAGCTGTTGCCTGTTTCAGTGCTCCGATGGGCACTGCGTTTCCCGGGCCTCTCATGGGAGGAAACCATGAGCCAAGAGCAGCGTCAGAGCACCCTACTACTCACCACCCGTTCCCTCCAGGATGCCCCGAACCACGGCCTGAACCCCGCTGGGTCTCATCAGCCTCTCGGAGAGCAGCTGACCACAAAGGCGCCGCAGCCACGCTGGAGCCCGCACAAGGGCCGGCTTTGTTTCTTCCCCAGGAGAGGGAGGACTCTGAAAGGAAACAAAGGAGCAGGCTGAGGAGCGTGTTTGCATGCTCCCGTGCAAACCCGCGCTGGCAGGCACACCGCCTGCGCCCTGCCCTGCAGGCACTGAGAGGGGAGCACAGGACAGGGACAGCTCTTAAATAAAGCACTTCATCCTCCAGCTGCACAAAGCGAACGAGGGCTTAACAAGAGAGGCCAGCCTTCCCAAGAGCATCCCCTTCTGCAGCGCTGCCCTCCTTTAATTAAAGCCTCTCAGGGTCAGGCTCTGCCTCATTACCAAAACAGTGCGTGGGGGGGCTCAGGGGACAAGTCGGGTTTGATGCAGGTAAGGGGTCCGCAGCGGTGACCCCTGCCAGGACCTGGCACAGAGCACAGGGCTGTGGAGGCGGCACCACGAGCCCACAGGCTGCCCAGTGGAGCAAAGCAACCCGCCCCAGGGACAGCATGAACGGCAGAGCTGTCCGGAGGCTGTGAGCCCCCCAAAACGAGCGGTTCCAATGGAGGTGCTTGCTCGGACACCCCCAGGAGGCAGCCTGGCACCACCGCACTGCTGGGGGACAGAACAGGATAAAATATTTTCAGTTGGAAGGGAATGAGCTACAACAATCATCTGCTCCAGCTGCTTGGCCACTTTGGGGCCGATGAGCAGTTGGAGCACGTTATTAAGGCCACTGTCCAAATACCAGCTCCGGTTTTGTTTAACCAGGAGAGCCCTGCTTTTACACGGAAGAACCACAGCACGCACCGAGCGCGCTGCCCTCGTACGACCCCTCTGCAGCCCCCGCAGGTGGGAAGGGCGGCTTCCACCCGATCGGGAATCACGTGCGATCCCCGCCAGCAGCTCCTCACGTCCCAGCCCCGAGCTGCGATGGGGCAAGTGGGCGCGC